GCCACATCCCATGCCATGGTTTTTATGAAGCCCACATCATACTGCCTATGAGTCAAAAGAAATTTAGTAAACTAGCCACCCAAAGCTATCTGGATGCCTGAGGCAAATAGCAACATGGAAGCCTGTCAAGGACAAAAGTAGAATCGACAAGCAGTTGAATCATTCTTCTGTGTTGATAATCGGGCAGTTTCCTCCACCTTTTCTGGAGCGAGCAGACAAACACTGGGGCATGGGTCATGTCTCTGTCTTCTCTCTGCTAAGGTCTTATGGTAAGACTTGCCCTATACAACACAAATATGATATCTGAAACAGCACCTGAGCAATGGTTTCTAAATTATGGTCCTCCAGATGTTTTGGACGTACGCTCCCAACTGGTTGAGACTTTTGGGAACATCTGAAGGACCAAAAGTTGGGAATTGATTGTTTTAATCAAGCAACTATTGCATTTTAGCCAATCATTCCTCCGAGGAATTCAGAATTATGTACATAATAATAGTTACGTACACAGTTCTGCTCTTCTATTTTATTGTTAGAGCAGACCCAGAAGAAAAAAGGTTGAATGCTTAGTCCTAAACCTCCAAATGAGCCCTGTGGCTAAGTGTCTCCATGGTTCTAATCCAAGAGTCTAAACCAGTGGTTCTCAGCCTGTGGATCCCCAGATGCTTTGGCCTTCAACTCCCAGAAATCCTAACAGCTGGTAAACTGGGTGGCATTTCTGGGAGTTGTAGGCCAAAACACCTGGGGATCTACAGGTTGAGAACCACTGCTCTAAATAATGTGACTTAATAAATCTTTTTAAAATGTTCATGAAAATCTGGTGTCATGGCAGAAGTATTGTGAGATTGCTTTCAGTCTCAGATGAGGCAGACTATTATTCTACCATCACTTCAGACCTTTGAAGCACCTTTCCACAATTTTCATGAGCTGCACAGTTTGGACCTGCAACTCTTGGCAGCCTAAGTCAGCAGAGTCAATTGTCATAAACTGTTGGGAAGGAGCACAAAATTAGAGAAAGCAGCTCCAAGCCTTTCCGGAACCATCTGGAAACAAAGGCTATGTATTGAGTTTCAGCTGACATCCCTATAGGCTGAGTAATGACTCCTGCTGCTCCACAAAAGTTTAGGATTTTTGACATTGTTATTCTGGGCCTTCCTGCAGTTCGAGAAGAGCAACAGGTGTGTGAGAAAAGCCTGCCAATAAATAAAACTAATAAACAGAATGGTGACAGTAAAGAACAAACAAACAAAACAGAGGTGGATCTGAAATAATTTTGCAACCTTGCTCTCAGCTGGGGAAGGCTAGACAACTTGTGGAAATAAACCCACAAAAAAAACCAAACCTCTCTGCTCATCCATAACAGCCCAAGGGTGAAATGTTTGTCCCTGCTATGCACATTACTGCCTGAAATATTAGACATTAAAACCCTGAGTTGTTCAAACTCCAATTACTGACATGGCTGTTAACACAAATAACAAACATTCTTCCTTTTCGAGAAACCCCATAAAAAACAAAGACTCCAATTTAAGTGTGGTTCTGCCATTTGTCCTGAACAGGTGAGACAACATTCTCACGACCATATTTTCTGCTCAAGGGCCTGCTGAGCCTGCGATAAGCCAAGCTATCTCCAATTTTATTAATAAACATAAATTATGCATTTCCTCTCAAGGTGTTAGCAGTATAACTGCCCTGCCAACAACACAATTCCAGTGCTTTAAGACCCCGATAAATAAAACCAAATTCAAAGTATATGGCAATAGGTAAACTTTCTGTGGTTTCTCAGACTGCATTACAGCAGCAGGAATGATAAAAGCTATTAAGCATATGTTTAAGCACTCCCAAGTTATCTATGGAAGGTCGAACACATGCAGGTGACAAAGCATGTTGTTTTTAAGCAGCACCCATCTGTCTCCATAGGCATGTCTTCACAGAACTTCCTGAAAGCACTATTCTGTAGTTAGAAATAGAACAGCTGGTTTAAGTCCATAGTATGTCATGGAAGACTTTCAACTTGCTGTGGTGGTGGCTAATTAAAACTAACATGTTAATAAACCCAAGCAGAACTACACGGGTACATTCTTCTTCAAAGTAATACTTTAGAGCAAGGGTAAGCAACTTGATGTTTCCAGATGTTCTACACCCAATTTATATAATCTCTGATCACTGGCTAGGATAGACGGGGCTGCTTTAGAGGCAGGTAAGTTATTTATTTTTTCTTAAAGTAGCTTAATAAGCCTAACCATTTCTGCAGTGCCACAAATTGATAGTGCATCATCATCATCATCATCATCATCATCATCATCATTTATAGCCCGCCTTTCTCTCCATGGGGACTCAATGCAGCTGACATCTATCCACACTAAACAGTATAAAAAGAGCAATACAAAAGTTAAAAAACAATTAAATAATAACAGTGGTTAAAAACAGAATTAAAATATAGCATGAACCCAATTTCTAGGCAATATACTAAAATAGCTTCCCAGTTTTGTCCATTCTGGAGCCTCTGATAAAGTGAAGTCTGATGGATCAGCTGTGTCTGTCAGCTGTTACATAGCTCAACGGGTATCATCTAAAACCACTGCTGGTCAGGTATAGATCTGGTTTGCATCATTCACTGTGCAAGATTGTGTCTGGAACTGTAATCAGCTATGAAATTCCACAACTGACGTTATTCTTATTTCCTGCCATAGTACAACAGTAGGAAAATTACGTTTTAAAAAATCTATGCCAGAGGCCCCTACCAATGTTACTGGGCACACATGAAAGTCCACCATTGGCCAACCTCTAACATTTATTTCTTTTTTTCAAAATCATCTTTATTGAGAGTTTCCTTTTGTGACACATAATGTAAAAGAGTTGAGAGAATATAATAATAATATAATAACGTGAGAGAAAAGAAAAGAAAAAAAGAGAAAGAAGAAGAGAAGAAGAAAAAAAAGAATAGAGTATAGAGATATTTCAGATGACAACCAGCATGTGTGCTAACGACTTCAGAATATGATGAAAGTTATTAATGTGGAAGCTAGAAGAAACCATAGGGGTTTGCTTTTGCCTGAGTCTATAGCAGTTGTTCTCAATCTTTGGGCCGTGAGACCTAAAATAAGGTCCATGGCTCTAGATTATTAAATATAGTTTTCTGTGGGTGAGCAGAAGGTGACTATTGGATGGCATATGTTCTGTATCAGAAACTAGAGCTGATGACGTCTATCCAATGTAGTTTTCTGAATCAGCACCCAAATAACCAAACCAAATCTAAAGTTGACCAAAAAACTGATTCATAATCGTTTTGGTACTAATGTTGGAGAGTGGTCCCTGGTCAAAGTGGTTCCTGGTCATGTGGTCTCTGGTTAATGTGGTCCCTGGTCAAAAAAAAGTTGGGAACCACTGGTCTATAGGGAAGGGCAGCACCCTCCTCCTTTCCTCACCCTCTTGCTGTATAAATTGAGTCTAAACGATCTTTGCACTTTTAATTTGTTTTTATAGCATGTGAAATAAGATGAAATGGGGGAAGCGGAGAAAGAGAAAATGAGACATTTAAAAAACAACTGAAAAATCGGAATGGGAGATTACTCAGGAGTGTTCCAGCCTAATTCATGCCAAGGCACATGAACAAGAAATATTCCTCCATTAAGAAGTGTTCTTAAAATGGCAGGCAAAACAGATATGGATGAGACAGTGTGTACATGTGCCTTCTAGTCACTGTTGTCTTATGGTATCCTTACAACTTTCATAAGTTTTTTTTAGGGAAAGCGATACTCAAGAGATGGTCTTACCTGTCATGCAGCCACTAGCATCTTTAGGAAGTAGCAAGTTACTATTCTGCTATGAGGCATATAACCATGAAGTTGTGTCTTATTTTCATGTAAAGCAAGACATTGTGTTCCCAGCATTGCTTCCAAATCCAACCTCTCCTTTGGACAAGAAGCATCACCTGCTTGATGCGTCATCTTCTCATCCACTGGAAACAGGTTATCTGGCATTGCCCACAACCAAAAAGTTGGGGTGGGGGGGGGGGGGACATTCAGGTACTTTTCTTGAAAGAGAAAGTCTTTGTTTGTGGCCTGCAAACTTTTTCTGCGGACCAGGCATCTTTAGTGTCTTGTCCTGAGCAAATTGCAGTGTTTCGCTCCTCCATTCTCCATGTTGATCTTTCAGTATTTATCATTACACCAGCATTAGAAAAGTTACTTTTTGATTATCCATCAGCCTGGTCGGGGCAATTCAAAGCAGCAATGTCTCCAAACCATGGGTTGCACAAGAGTTGCACAACGTTTTTGGTCCATCAGACCACATGTGATTTGTAGGAAGCTCCTGAAATTAAGACACACACCTTCATTCCAGAGTTCATACAGAACAGTTTCCACATTAAACATATAGGGAGTAAGTTGTGTGCATCCTGTCAAGATGTTCAGGATATCAACGGCTGTGGGGTGTGTGTGGGTGTAAACATTTAAAGTCATTGAGGGACACAGATGGCCAGACCACTCTGGAATGAAAAGAATGTAAGGCATACATAAGTATTGATTTACATCACGGTGGGATTCCTAGATCCATGGTGTAAGAAAGAGCAATGTAAAAATGGGGTGCCAGTTCCATAAGGAATCACTGGCAACCAGGGGGATGCGTTATGATGGAGCTAAAGCCACAGTGATTTTACTCAAGCTGCATTTATGATAAGACTCCAGTTGCAGCTCCCTCTACTGAATCAAGTGGCTATTCCTTCCAGCAACACTAAAACACTTAAGGTTCCAGTTTCTTCCTCACACTCACTTTCTAAGCAGGGAAAGGAAACCTTTCTTCTAGCAGTGCCAAGACTGCTCTTATTAATATCTCTTTATGCCTTGCATTTGAGAGTTTTACTGATATATGCATTTCTGTACTTGTACTTTTTTAAACTTATTTTTAGGCTGCCAACACTAGGAAAATCAAGGATTGGAAGCAGCTAATTTCCCCTATTTTCTCATCACAAATAATGTAAGAGATAAAAAAATTGAAGTCATGGGTTCTTTAAACCATATTCCAGCTTTTATTTTCTGTTTTATCTCCTGTTTCTCACATGTAGTATAACAATATTACATTTAATTGCAGACATGACTTAAATTATTTCCCTATTTAACATCAAGAATACTGAAAACTAGTTGAATCTTGAGACCAAATTGCATTAGGAAAAATTAAAGTAACAAATAATACATAACCTTGTTGCGATATGGAGAAGGGGGGGGGGAGGCTATTAACTAATCTGAATATTTTTTAGCCACATAAAAAACAATTCCAACTCTGCAGGTCTGTGATCCATCAAGAGGACATTAAACTGAACAATCACAGCCTCTCATGTATAGATCTAGGGATGACATACTGCAACAAGTGCAGTGGTATTGAAGAATATAGATCCACCATATTTAAAAAGGCTGGATAAGTAAGATATTGGCAGTTGTGTTGGTATTTCTTCTCAAACCTTATGACCAACAGACAACAGAGACTGAAAGCACACTGCCAATTTCGTTGTTCCCGAGGACTTCATAGTCCATGCCTGTTTTCCATCTTCAGTTTCAGCAACTCTCTCAGTCAAATCATATCCAGCTGCAAAAGAACACACAATAGTTACAACACAGGCCACAGACTTAAAAATAAAACTTCTACAGGATGAACTAGAAGTTTTATCAAATACATACACACTTAGCTGTGCAGCCTTTGAACATGAGAAAAATCTAAGACAAATACTAATTACACAGCCCAACAAAATGTGTGTTGGCCAATGTGTAGCTGCACCCTTATGACAGAATCCAAGGAAATTTATGTAGAGCTTGTTGGGTAGTCTGTTTAGAAATGCTAACCAGTCCAACAACCACCATGTCAGACCACACAGAGAAGCCAATGAAATCCATAAGCATGTGGACAATTTCAACAGAAAGGAGGAAACCATGAAAATGAACAAAATCTGGCTACCAGTATTTTAAAAATACTCTAAAATCAGGAAAGCAAATAGAGCAACACTCAAAAAACAGGGCAATTCCAGACAAGAATCAATCGGGGCCAGCTAACACCTCCCAACAAAGGACCCCCCAAGGAGCAACCAGGCAGGCTTTGAAGCTGCAAGGCCATCCAATGCTAATCAAGGAGGCCAACTGCAACATTCATACTTGCCTTAAGCAGACAAGAGTTCTTTCTCCCACCCTGGACATTCCACAGATATATAAACCTCACTTGGCCAGTTTCCAACAAACCTCACAACCTCTGAGGATGCCTGCCATAGATGTGGGCGAAATGTCAGGAGAGAATGTTTCTAGAACAGTGGTTCTCAACCTGTGCATCCCCAGGTGTTTTGGCCTGCAACTGCCAGAAATCCCAGCCAGTTAACCAGCTGTTAGGATTCCTGGGAGTTAAAAGCCAAAACATCTGGGGACTCACAGGCTGAGAACCTCTGTTCTAGAACGTGGCCATACAGCCCAGAAAACTCACAGCAACCCAGTGATTCTGGCCACGAAAGCCTTCCACAACACATTCTTTTTAAATATTGTCCAGAGCTGAGTTTGCCTAACTTCAGAAAGTTGGCTGTTGGAGCTCATTCCCCACTCTTGTGACTTTTAAATTTGATGGTCAAAGGGAACTATTTTTGTATATTAAATCATACCGATTTATTAGCTATAAAGGGAAATTCTTTCCTCCAAAGAAAGGGATTGTGGAAAATAACCTACTATGACTCTGGAAATATCTACTCCAGCATGAAAACCCACACATCCTCAACCTCAGATAACTCTGTGATAAGCTCTAATGAAAAGGCTCCAGTGACTGGATTTGCCTCACCGATCACAACCTTCCTAGGGCACTGAAGAATGAGAATTGCTTGTGTGGATTATCATTTTATAACGTTTTGCCAAACAAACTCATGTTGGAACATTTTTTTAAAAATACTTACAAGATCATCAACATCGTCTCCTTCATCCGTTACAGGTGAAACTTCCATGGGCTTTTCTTTGGGAGCCAGAAACTAGAAACAAAATTGATTTGAATGCAATCAGCAATGATTAAGAATATTCTTTCCCTGTGGTCTACTACAAAGGATTAAATACTCTCCAGGCACCAGATGCTCAGCCCTGGTTAGAACTTAGATGGGAAACCACCAATGAATTGTAGACTACATTTCAGAGGAAGCAACAGGCAAAATAATCTCTGAAGATTCCTTGCCTAAGAAATCCTATGAAATACATTTCTCCATAAGTTGACAGGCGACAACTTATGGAGATACACATACTATAGACATTGCTAAAAAAAAAAAATCAGCCTCTTCTAACCTATTGCCACCTACACATATTGGACGAAATATTGGAGAAACAGAAATAAATAATAATCCTAAAACAGAAACTTAAAAATCTCTCAAATTACCATCATCATTTGTCAGATGGAGACCAGGATTTCTAGACATGTTAAAAGCAGCCACTGGGCAATTAAGACTGAACATTAAATTCAGACAAAACAAATGTTACTATTAATTAGGTCAGATTATAACCCACATGCAAGTTAACCATCAGGAAGAGAAACTCGTGGATTGGGGACATCCTGATTTTCTGTTTGACAACTTTCCGCAAGCGCTACCTCACAATTTTAATACGTGCACATAAGAACAACCTCATTTGGCTTTTAAGAGTTCATTCAGTGTCACTATGTGTAAAACTACTGTTAAGAGAACAATACTGAAGTGAAAGGCACTCTTTTGTCAAAGCTTTCCATCTCTCCAAAGTTCTGCCAGGCTTTTGCTGTGTCAGTAGAAATACAAGGGAACACTTATACTTCAATCATCACCTTTATTCTCATTATTGCATTGCTTTTCTCTCTTGAGCAAGATCAAGAGCATCTCACTTTAAAAACTGCCATTTAAAATCTGCTAAATATTAATTAATTTATCCCCAGTTCAAGGTTCCCTGGTATTGTGACAAAACGAGGAGCATTTTGGATCCTTGCATTCTGTCTTTCTGGCACTTATCTAGAAGATCTTTCTGGCTCCAATCCAAGGTCAGAGCTCCCGCATTGTACAAGAAAACATCATCTGAATGCTTTAAGGTAAATCTGAAATGGAATGTCCTGTCTCGAACTATGTCTGCAACCTTGGAAGGGTACTTCAGCTCATTTCCATGGCCCCATCAAGCTGATAACTAAAGAGGCTTCCATGAATAAATGGCCCTGTAGGCTAAGAAGCACTGAATGCATTACTTTTTTCGTGTCAGGAGTGACTTGAGAAACTGCAAGTCGCTTCTGGTGTGAGAGAATTTGCTGTCTGCAAGGACGTTGCCCAGGGGACACTCAGATATTTGATACTTTACCATCCTTGCGGGAGGCTTCTCTCACGTCCCCGCATGGGGAGCTGGAGCTGATAGAGGGAGCTCAACCCGCTCTCCCTGGATTTGAACCACTGACTTGTTGGTCAGAAGTCCTGCTGGCACAAAGGTTTAACCCACTGCACCACCAGGTACTCCTGGCAAGCATAGAAAGGTATGAAAAGATAGTTGTCTAGACGGAGTAAGGGTAGTATATAAATAAAACTGATCTTAAAGGCAAACTATATTGTGAATTAATTACATTTAGCTAAAACGTATGTATTATTTCCAACTTTCTAACTGCCCACGCAACTACATAGTGGCTTTGAAGAATCAACAAATTGCCCCTTTTAACCTAAAATCATATTCTTTCAACCATTTAATTCTGAATCTAGCAATTAAGCTTGGGGTTAGATTGGGCAATTCAAGGCCACAACAGGAAGCAAAACACAGCTCCAGGTTAGTTCTGGTTTCAAATAGACAATATTACTGAGCATTCAAAGCTACAAGGAAAAAGAAGAAGCAATACAGCTTTTCAGTCTGCTTTAGATATATATTTGTAAAAAAAATTCTGACCTAGTCTCCCAAATACAAATGAATTTATCAGGAAAGTATTACTTCTGGCTTCCAAAATGAAAATAAAATCACACTTTTGACTGCTACATTGGTGGCTGCTTTCCTTGTATCCGTATCCAATGGCTACGCCTTTCCAAAGCTGTAAGCCAACACTACCCTAAAAGTAAAGTTTTTTTTAAGACTGTCTGGATGTGTTATAACCTTTCGTAGCAAAAGGCAGCACAGATCTGGAAAGGTTATGCAGCAGGGAAGATTGCAGTCTCAACATGTCACGCTCGTGTGCCTCTCTTCCTCTGACATTGTGGATGTAATACCATTATTGTACAGGCAATATTGAAGTAAAAGCAAGTTGTCAAATTTAAAAGCCTTTCTCTGCTGGAGCAAATCCCATTTTACATAGCTAATTAACGTAAAATGCTATTTCTGAAAGTTACTTATTTGCTCTGAGGCCTCCGAAGTGGCATCCCGGTGCTAAATTAGATGTAAACAACACATCAGAGTCTTGAAGACACTGAGGATGAGAAATTGCTTAGCAACAAAATTAAACTTTTTTTTGTTGCTTCCAATCAAAAAAGCACCAAGTATCAGCAAGTTTTTTCCTTATTTCCTCTCTTCCTGACAAGATCTGTTTTACATTTATGCAGAAGCAAAATTACACATAATAGTTGTGCTGAAACCCATTACCACCCTCAAGGTAACAACGGGGCATTCTTGGCAGGTCTGTTAATGTCACATCTCTGTGTTCTAAAGAGTAGCCCTTCTATCTCTGTTCTCTCAGGATGCAGAGACCAATCCTTTCCATGAAATGGTTGCAGGTTCAATTTATGCAGAACAGAGACCAAAGGGAAAGTCCTGATCCAAACATACTGGTCAGTTCTAACTGACATTGGCCCATTCATGCATTTCCTTAGCATGCCAGTGAAAGGAAAGTTGGCGCACAGAGCTCACATGGTCAGAGCATCTAAATAGAATTGCCTTTGCATCGTAAGAGCATCTATACAAAATTCAGAACATCGACAAGCTCAGGCAGGATTTTCCATGTGGCATATGTCCTGCATAAATCAGCCCTAAGACCTAATTTAAAACTCAGGAGAAACTGATCGGAACTAAGATGGAACAACAACACTTTATTTATATTCCACCCTTCTCACCCCGAAGGGGACTCAGGGCGGATCATAAGTACACATACACGGCAAACATTCCATGCCGTGTGTACAGACAGTACACAGACAGAACAGAAAGAGGTGTTTTTCGATGCCATGGATGGTTGGGCTCGAGTCCATAGGGGGTGCTGTCACTCCATCTTCTATGATGAAGAGCCGTCAGGACTTCCTCATTCCAGCATTTTCTGATTTTCTTTTTCTTTATGGCGTTGTAAAACATCTCCCTTGCTTTAGTGGTACCTAATTTCTCTAATTACAGCTAAAGCTGTTTTTGAAATGCTTGGGTAAACAGTGAGCAGGGCTGACAGTCAGCCGCTCACGCCGACCCAGGGCTTTGAACTTGCAACCTTTCGGTTGATAAATCTTATAATTGCTGATGATTTACCAGCTGTGCTAAACCTCCAGCCCTTCACAATTCCAAAATATAGGGGTAAATTACTCCTTGTTGGGTTTCATCCCTGGACTGCATAAGTCTCTTGTGTCATCAATTTTGTAGACCTCAATGAGTAGCTATAGAGATAGGATGAGGCTGAGGAATTCCTCCCCACATTCCTATGCATGTTTTCCCAGAAAGGGCTTTGTCTTTACTCTTCCTGCCAGCCACTGTCTCCTCTCCTTTGATGATATAGTAGTGGAATTCTGTGAGGGAACTTCCTATTTACGTTTTATTGCCCTTGGGTTGACCATGTGGTCTCTTCCATTGTCTCTTCTGCCTTTTCTTCCTTCCAGTAAGGATAAAATTTAGTAAGCTAGTTGGCTCCAAGACCTTTTCAATCGAGAATGTATTTCTTTTACTTCAATAAATATTTTTGAATCTAAAGTTCTGACTCTGCAATCCTGTGTCATCCTATGGAGTAAAAGCTTATCATAGCTCGCCACATGTAAGTTATGAAGTTTACTTCTGTACACTGTTATATTTATGGTGGAATCAACCCATCTGAAGGTTATTTTGAGCCTAACAGCTCAGATTCCCCAACATTCCTTGCTATGCCTTCTCAGCCCTTCACATTTTTTAGGGTTGGGGACACAAGACTCCCACAAAGTGGAAAATCTATGAATAAAAAAGCCTTTTTTTTTCAAAAAGTTGAGAGAACACCTCAATCTCTAGGTCATCTGCATGAGTCTGTGGTCAATATCTGGTAACTACAAGGTTGCACTGGAAGACCTAGAGATTTCTAGGGAAACCTTTTAATCAAATCCAGAAATAATAATTGAATCTGCAGAAGTCAAACCCACAAATGTGGAGAACCAACTGTAGTAAGGGAAAAAAAATAAGTGATTTAAAGAATAGCATTCCCTGACTTGAGGTATAAAGAGGCGTAAACATCTACAAATGATGATGATGATGATGATGATGATGATACTTTATTTATATCAACTCAAATTGCTACCTCATTTTACTGGACAAAAAGAGCCTAAATGAAAGGAAGGCACAGAAAGAACGTGCTTTTCTTCTATGGGACTGACTGTATGTGAGAAGACCCCAATTTTCAAATCCTCCATTGCAATGCAGCCGAACTCAACAACAGCCCTGTAGTTCACAATTTTTCTGCTCTAGAGCAAAGCACTTGAGATGCGATGCAAGGGACGCAATCACACTCTCTATCTTAGCTTGTCGGCTGCTTGTCTCCATAGGTTATTGTGTGATGTTTTCTAAACTGTTGTTTTATATGTCATATGGTTTTATTTTCTTGTATTTAGTGGTTTACCATTTTATCAGCTGTTAGGATTTCTGGAAGTTGAAGGCCAATACATCTGGGGACCCACAGGCTGAGAACCACTGGCTTAAAGGATAGGAAGGTACACATGGCTCACCGACTGTGCTACATGCAAAGTCAGTCAGAGAGGGGATGCATGTGTGCTACTGTCCCTTTAAGTTTGAGCATAAAGAACAGCCTGCACAGACGAACAATATGGTGCCACACTGTTCTTCATGTTCCTTTGTATTTGCTCCTGGATCCAAGGGGATTCTCAGTAGGCTCTCTTTATCACTGAGCATATAAAGATGAACAAAGAAATCAGTTCCTCATTGCCATCTGCCATGGCTGCAGGAGCTCAAGGGAAACAATGGCAGAAGGAGGATGGGGAAGAGAGGACGATAACAACGGATGGGCACCCATTCATTCTTGCCTGTCTCAGGGGAATCCATATAAACAACTCAAGGAAACTGTAGAAACAAATCCCACAAAGGCACAGCCCTGTGCTCTATAGGCCTTCTTATAAACAGGAAGGAAGTGTCATATTAACATGTCAATAGTAAAAACCTAAAAGTCATAAGAGGCTACTAGAAGCTAGATGCAGTAAAAAGATAGTCTATGGTTTATCTTCTTCATGAGTAGGTGGGTTTATATCAGATCATCTCCCTAACAATAATTTCTTTTAAAAAAAGAACTGAGATATTGAATAAGAAAAAATCTTCTTTGAAGTAGTTGAAAGTGACACAACAGAGAGAATAGATTTAAGCAACAGTTCCAGATAGCAACCTTCAACCAGGTCTTGCATCTTAGGAATTAGACCTAGGGTGTATCTGCACTGTAGAATGAATGCGGTTTGACATTCCTTTAACTGCCATGGCTCAATGCTATGGAAGGCTGGGAGCTGTGAGGTAGCTCCTATGATTCTATGGCACTGAGCTATTAGAGTTAAGGTGGTATTAAACTGCATTGATTCTACAATGTAGATGCACCTACAAAAAGACCAACTTTGGTCTTTTGGTCTCTACGGTTATTATAGGACCCCTTTTGCATACAGATTTCATAGGAATGCACATCTGTGCTTGGATGCAGAGAAATAATAAAACTATGCAGTTTTGGCACAATCAAATCAACATCATCTGGCCCATGTCACACTTACAACTGCAGACAGGATTTTCGTATTTTCCCCAAGCCTGCTGCTAAACCTGCTCTTGTACCTGGCAGACTTTATATTTAAAAAGCCCTCTTTACAAGTACCTTTCTAGCATCTTCAGCTGTCAATGAGCTTCCTCCAGATTCTTCTTTGGTAATCAAGGAAATTTTATCTAAGAATAAACAAACAGTTGTCAGATTATGAAGTCTCTCCAATTAATTTTACAAGTAAAGCATTGTAAATCAGTATTTGGTGGTCACAACAACATTTTGTTTTAGGATGACACAGCTTTCACCAACAAGCTAAGTATCATGATATACCAACTTAATTAATGAATATTCATATCATAGTAAAAGTAATAATGGACCGAAGTACAATAATAATAATAATAATAATAATAATAATAATAATAATAATAATAAACAACCCCAAAGGGACTCAGAACGAAGCCATCCAGTATAAGAAGTCATCCAGTTTAATCGAAAGGAAAAACAACAACAAAATAGGTGTTATATGGCTAAGATGATGGTCACCTTACCCAAGCCAGGATAAGCCAAGTGCAAAGATAGACAGTTTCTGTGTTGAGTAATATAAGGATGTGGTTGTATTGGAGGATTACACATTATAGTGGCTTTTATCAGAAAACTCAGTAAACATATATTTGATAATACAGTAGACACATAACATAAATGAATGAAGTAAGTAAAGCAAAGGAAGAATGGGTTTGGCTGAAATAAAGAATCAGAGTTTGAAGAGACCCAAAAGGTCATCCAGTCCAACCACTTTATGTCATGCAATCAGAACACCCCTGACAGATGGCCATCCAGCCTCTGCTTAAAAACCTCCAGAGAAGGAAGCACCAACACTCTGTGAAGCAGTGCATTCAACAGTTAAAATAGTTCTTATAGTTTGGAAGTTTTTCCTAATGCTTAAGTGGAATCTATTCGTATAGAGCATTCTAGAGAGTGAGAGGATGAAAATCTTACACATGAAAAAGGATGGGACCAGCAGAGAAGAATGTGGGAGTAGTTAATATTTTATGTACAAAAGCACCTGAAGTGGGAAAAACGGCAGTTTAGGATTAACCAGTTGCTAATAACAACAATCTATTAAAAAAATATGAACACACATCTGACAAATATTTCTGGATCTCTCAAAACACCTCAGACATTATGTGATCATCCGCTCCCTATGCCCAGAGATATAAATTTAATATTGTTTTGGAGCAGTGTTCACATACAATTATTTAGTGAAAATATTTTATAACTATTAATGGGTTGGATCCAGAAAAAATCAAGAAGGGCTCCTTCCACCCACTTCTGATGAAATGGAGCATTTCTGCTAGCTCAATTGTGGGAACAGTTGTAAACTGTATGGTTTTCCTTTTGGCATTAAATGTTTACCATATTTGTTGGAAATTGCCCAGAATCCCTTCAGGGAGATAGAGCGGTCTATAAATAATAATAATAATAATTATTATTATTATTATTATTATTAACAGTAACTGTATAAGCTGAGTTTTTCAACCCTTTTCTAGGCTGGAAAAGCCCCCCTCAGCTTATACTCAAATCAAAGTTATTTATTATTTTACTCTGTTATTATTTTATTACATTTATTATTTTACTTTATTATTACTACATTTATTATTTTACTATAAAATTACTGTTATTATTACATTTACATTAATTTACTCTATTATTATTGGAAGGATAGGTAAACACGTTTACATTGTAGAAGGTTAGAATAATGGGTTAATCAGAGTTGGACAGTCTTTTCTTAAATTACAGTTTTATGTAAATATTCAAAAACATTTAACCTACTGATGCCTCAATAAATGTAATTTTATTGGTATCTATTTTTATTTTGAAATTTACCAGTAGCTGCTGCATTTCCCACTCTCGGCTTATACTCAAGTCAATACATTTTCCCAGCTTTTTGTGGTAAAATTAGGTGCCTCAGCTTATATTCGGGTTGGCTTATATCATCCACCTTAGTCCCTCCAGGCCCACTGATGTGCACTGTTATACAATTTGAGAAGGTAAGAATTCACCCTCTGAAAATTTGCAGAGGTCAGGGGGACCTCTTCAATATTGCTGGAGAATGTGCTGGAAGCTCTACAGAGGTTCTGAACCTCTGGGTCTCCAGATGTTATGGTCTTCAGCTCCCAGAAATCCTAACTGGATTAGGCTGGGATTTCTGGGAATTGTAGACCAAAACACCTGGGGACCCACAGGTTGAAAACCACTGCTCCAGAGGGAGGAATCTGCAAAATACTGCCTCTCTTCCCCTTTCCACCAGACTAGACCTTTACCCAAGAATACTCCTGTTAATAGAATAAAATTCCTGGTTATTATTGTTGTCATTGCTTCTTCTCCCTCCTGCTCCTTGCCTTGTTCCACAGCGCATTCCTCATCACTACTAGTGTTAGGCATCCTCTCCTTGTATGGAGTACAAAGAAAATCCAATGAATTCCAAATCTGTCCCTATCTTTCATATTAAACATTGTTCGTATATAGATTTGTTAAAGAGTAGTGCAAGTCTGCATTCATTCCATTAATTCTTCCCGACAGGACTGTGATTTTCCTCATAAAATTTCCAATTTGCCTCTAAACTCCAGCCCTCTTCTTTTCCCCTTCACTTCACATTGTAAATAACATTTGACATACCTTGTACAATAATCTCCCAGAAATCAGTTAGGTTTTTATCTTCCACCCTTTTTTTCAGAGTCTCCAAAAAATCATTAAAGCACTGAACTTCTGACAGCTGAAACAACGACGACAACAACAAAGGAATAACAGAGGAAAATAAGAGTTAGCTTGACATCAAAATGACACCATACTCTTAATTCATCATAACACCCTGTCTGAAACGGGTGGAGGTAGGGGGAAAGTGAAGCGAAGCTTTTCAATCCACTGCACACTCAATTCATCTGGCCGTGTTCAGAACCAGACGTCTAATGTGCAGTGAGTCACCAAAAAAATATATGACAGGACGTAAAGCAGCCCTGTCTCTTTTTGAGATTTGCTTTCCGGGAAAGTATGGTTTCCTTTTCATCTAGAAGGTTGCACACATTCTCTCTGCACATTTGAAAACCTCCAGTGGAACTCTGAAAGGGGCAAAACAACAAAATACATGGCAAAATGCATGGCACTGCCTGGTTTTAGGACATCATCACAGTTGCATTCCTCACACCCTTTTTGAAGCAACTCCTGTATTTTCAATACAAGGAAGGGAGGTAGGTAGCTATATTCTACCACCACAAAATTGCATACCCCAAAAGTACCAGGTCCTATCTGGACTTGGAACTATGAGGGGTTCAGCCTGGATGGGAACCACCAATGAATGAATGGTGCTATAGGCTAAGTATGAGAGGAAGGCTGCAACAAACACACTCTGAGCATTTCCTACTTGAGAAATCCTAAAACAGTTTTCCAAACATTTCATGTTAGTGGCACATTTTTTTTACATGCATCATGTTGTGATACAGCAATTCAATTTTGAGAGCAAGTTGGAGGTTAAACCAACTCCCTAACAAGAGAAAAGGACACATACATAAACTGTAATAATGAAATGTATGGAGATACACATATCTTGGGCCCTCTGGTGGCACAGCAGATTAAACCGCTGAGCTGCTGAACTTCTGACTGAAAGATTTGCGGTTTGAATTTGAGGAGTGGGGTGAGCTTCCGCTGTTAGGCCCAACCTAGCAGTTTGAAAACATGTAAATGTGAGTAGATCAATAGATACCGCTCCAGCGGGAAGGTAATGGCGCTCCATGCAGTCATGCTGGCCACATGACCTTGGAGGTGTCTACGGACAACGCTGGCTCCTTGGCTTAGAAATGGAGATAAGCACCAATCCCCAGAGTCAGACTCGACAAGACTTAATGTTAAGGGAAAACCTTCACCTTTACTTACACACATCTTATAAAGCCTCTTATTTATATATTTTAAAACAAATGATTTATTGCTTATTTCACATAAGACTCACACACTTACACACTGTTGTGGCACAAAGTTTGGAAAGCTCTGCCCTAAGAAATTAAAGGGGCAGGCACAGGGAAATCCACACACACATACCCAACACTGAGAACAGTTTCAAACCCATATTACCTTAATTGCTTCATCTCTGAGAACTTTTATGCAGTCAATGCTCTTCGAATAGTATAAATGGCCCCTGTTTTCCAAAAACTGGTGAATGTGCTTTATTAGCTGCTGACTGACTAGAAGACAAGAATCAGAAAATTAGAGGAATTACTCGCACAGTACAATCAAATTACATATGTTTTACAATACTAGTTAAAACTCTAACATCAGACTGAAGTGGGGAGGTGGAGGATGTAAAGCAATTGAATTCAGTGAAAGAGATACAGGAATTCAATATGGAGCTATGGTGGCACAATGGGTTAAACCCTTGTGCCGGCTGAACTGCTGACATGAAGATCGTTGGTTCAAATCTGTGAGATGGGGTGAGTTCTCATGTCCCATTTGGGACATGAGAGAAGCCTCCTACAGGATGGTAAAACATCCAGGCATCCCCTGGGCAACATCCCTGCAGACGGCCAATTCTCTAACACCAGAAGCAACTTGTAGTTTCTCAAGTCGCTTCTGACACGATTTTAAAAAAGGGATTCAACACTGATAGAGTGAAGCCAACACTCCAACAAAAGAATACTTTCCCTCCACCGCCATATTAAGGACTGACACAGATTTTGTTCTGTCAATCATTATGCCAAAAAAGTGCCAAGGTGCAGCCAATGCTCTTGCTTGCCTTCCTTCCGTAGAAAACCTTGGCGTTTTAGCAGGGAACAACAGAATGATGAGGGACATGGAAAAACTTTGGCTTATAAACATGATCTCTTCATTCATGAACCGACAATCAGGATTCAAGTCACTGCTCCCAATTTGATTTTGTTTCCTTTGATTAGATTAGTAACTCATTAAAAAAACATTGACCCAGTTTTATATTGCATAGATAATGGGGGAAAGGTGTGTGTGGGGGGCTAATCAAGGTAATATAACACCCTCAAAATGAAGGGAATGGGAAATATATGGGTTATTCAACCAATGAAAATGCCACCTCCAAGATAAAATATTGCCTTTCCCGACAAACAGCACAAATTCAGGTTAAGCAGCGATATTTCTCCTTCAGTTCTGACAAACAGGTGAGCTCTCTTGCACCTTACTGTCATAGTATCTCAGTTATATTTCCCAGTAATAAACTCATGATCAAATGAATGTCACTTTAGATCAAGGATAGATTATCCATTTTGTGACAGGTTGCACTCCTATAACTTTTATAACGTAAGTGCAAAATGAAATTGGAGAGTGATGAGTAAGGCAAAGACCAATGGGTTATTTTGGCCTCCAATGCCACTCAAAAAATCATTTTATCCAAAATGTCTGAAACAAGAAGTGCCCCGTATTTGGGCTTCCCTCCCCCCCCCCAATTTTAGAATACTTGCATTTATATAAGATAAGATCTTATTAATGGGACCCAAGCGCAAATATGTAATTCATTTATGTTCCTATACCCCTTATACATATAGGCTGAAGTTAATGTTGTACACAATATTGTTTTATCATCTTGAGCCTGAAATAAAGTTTGTGTATACCGAACCACGAGAAAGCAAAGGTGTTGCTATCTCAGGTGGCTAATTTTGGATTATTTTGGAATTCCAGATAAGAATGCTCAATCTGTGCTGATGCTGTTTCCTCTTAGCTTGCGAAAGGGCATTTCCGCCTCCAAAATTTCACCTGAATTATGTCAACCCAGGGAGGTGGGTGTGGGACACATTTTGTATGCACCAATTTATTCCCAGAAGAGACTGTTTTTGAAACCCAAATCATGTTGAAAGTGTTTGCATATCTCCTGGAGGTGTCTAGAGGCAAAACACTTCTTATTTTATTTTATTTGTGGGAACAGGTGCTCCAATGTCTCTCATGAGGCTAATGAGGCCCTGTAGCCTTCCACAGTTGGCACTACTGGGCTACAAATGGCTGTAGAGATGAGCTGTAGCAGCAGAAGAGTCAGGCTGGTGGCATGCACTTTGATCGTTGCAGAGGGTGAAAAGACCTGGTAAAACGCTGTCTTCTTTCTTAAAAAATCTGGAATAAAGAATGCCTACTGCACATGGACAAAACTAATTACAATAAAAATGTAACTTTACAAATCAAGCCTTATTAATATAGCACAAAAGGTGATGAGGAGTTCACTGGATGGAGGACCGCCTCTCAGAGACTGAATCTACTTTGTAGAAATAACGCAGTCTTACACCAATTTAATGCCCTTGCTTAATGCAGTGTTTCTCAAACTGTGCTCCTTGGGTGTTTTGCACTTCAGCTCCAAGAAATCCCAGCTATTTCACCAGATGTTAGGAATGATGGGAGCTGAAGTCTAAAATACCCGGAGGAACACAGTTTGTGAAAAACTCGCTTAATGCAATAGATTGATGGGAGTTGTAGTTTGGTGAGCACCAGCACTAATTGGCAGAGAAGGCTAAAGACTTGTAAAAGTACAACTCCCATGATTCCATAGTATTGAGCCATAGGTGTTAAAATGGCATCAAACTCCATTCATTCTACATCTGTGGTTCCCAACCTTTTTTGACCAGGGAAGACTTTGATCAGGGACCACTCTCCAATATTAGTACCAAAAGGGTTACGAATCGGTTTTTAGTCAACTTTAGATTTGATTTGGTTATTTGGGGTGCTGATTCAGTAAATTGCATTGGATAGACCACATCAGCTCTAGATTCTGATACAGAACATATGCTATCAAGTAGTCGCTATCTTCTCACCCAAAGAAAACCATATTTAATAATCTATTGCTGATGTGGTCTATCCAATGCAATTTTCTGAATCAGCACCCCGAATAACCTCAGGAACAGGCCTAAAAACAAAGACACCAAGGCACCCCACTTCCAGGCACAACATGAACCAGCTCTGCTCAGAGAGAGGGAGGAAGGAGGAGGAGAAGCAGAAGTCAGAAGGCTTGTTGTTACACCTTTCGTGAGTAGTCAGCCTCTCCCCTCCCAACATCCCCATTGCCTAAGTGATATAAGAGGGTTTTGCGAGGTCAGCCGTTTTCATTGCAATGGTGTAGTAACGGTGAGGTCGCGGACCATATTTTAGTTCTTGCAGATCACTGGTGGTATACGGACCACAGGTTGGGAACCACTGTTCTATAGAGTAGATGCACCAAAATCCTTTCAGCCCTGAATTTTGCAAACACGGTCTAGGCTGGCATGGAGTTCCTCTATTCCTTTTATGTGCTATAAACATAAAAGGAACTCCATGCCAGCCTAGACCATCCAAGACTAAACACACTGATAGGCCAATACACTTCAAAACACACACCCTTTTTATAACAACTTTCATTCACTGCTATTAAGGACTATGCTCACTGACAGAGTCACCACAATGTTGCCCAATGCCTCGCTGCAGGGTAGAATCTCAATTCCTACAAAATGATTCCAATGACTGACAATTGTGAACATAATAAATTGAATATGTATTGGGTTAATTGGATGTGGCCAACTATAGGTCGCTACTATGGACTGCACGGATGGATGCAACTCCTTCTTGAACGAGAAATGTGATCCTTAAGTTGGAAATTGTTGCTGTGTTTATATGGATATAGAAAAGGGTATACATAGAGCATTACATTGAAGTTATGACTGCTTCTCTCCACTCTGAAGATTAACATACCATTTGTACTCTTAGGAAATGTTTGTATGGAGGGACAAAGACATAAACTGCTGGCTCCCACAAAGAACCATCATATATATAAGACAACCAACCAAAAAGTTTTACAATTTCAGCTTCACAGGTTAATACATTCTCCACATCCACCCACCCACCCATCTCAACCTAAGGGCTAATGATTTTCTCATAAAATATTCTAATTTCTTAGAAAATGCAGCAATAAAAAGCTCTGCTTTTCCCTCTCCCCCACCCCATTTAGAGCATTCCCTCTCCACTGATGTGTTAAATTAAAACCCCAGGCACCAAGAAAATATAGAGGAAGTCTTTACTGGGGAAGAGGCACTCTTCAGCTTCAAAGCATCACCCGACTCATTTTAACACATTGACCTTTATTCCTCTTCCCTCCTCCCAACAAAATGACAACCCGCTTTCTATCTGAAGAGACTTCCGCTGCAATGATGGTACTTTTTGTTAATTACCCCCTCGGGACTAAAATCTGCTCAAATCATTCTAAGACAGTATAATTCAAGCCTGCAGGAAAACAACAGGTTTAAGACAGAACAGCTAACACATCTGAATCCACTGCGAGATATGTTAACACAGCTCTAAAAAAACATCTCCTCCACATACTTCCAGATTGCAAGAGAGTGAAAGCAGCTACCGATTTTTCTAACCCTACTTTAAATATTTGACTCAGCTTGGTCCACTCACAGAGGCTATAGGTTAATCTGAACAGCCCTCATCCTTGCCTGCTGTCATGTCCATCATTTATTGTGCAATGAAAGATGGACATGACAGCAGGCGAGGATGAGGGCTGTTCAGATTAACCTATAGCCTCTGTGATGTAGTTCACTTTTGGAACAAATATGGGGCTCTAAACAATGAAAGTCTAAAGGTAAACTTTTCCCGACATTAAGTCTAGTCATGCCAGACTCTGGGGGATGATGCTCATCTCCATTTCAAAGCCAAAGAGCCAGCCTTGTCTGTAGATGCCTCCAAGGTCATGTGGCCAGCATGACTGCATGGAGAGCTATTATCTTCTCGCAGAAGAAGTACCTATTGATCTACTCACATTTGCATGTTTTCGAACTGCTAGGTTGGCAGAAGCTGGGCCTAACAGAGAAAGTTCACCCCACTCCCAGGATTCAAACTGCCAACCTTTTGGTCAGCAAGTTCATCAGCTCAGTGGTTTAACCCACGGTGTCCATAAATCTAGTGGCCAATTTTTCCTACACCATACATGCATAATTCATGGCAAGTGAGTAGAACTACCACATTCACTCAAGTCTAGTGTGTCATCGCAAGTAATGTGCACCTCAGTTTCAGAGTGCACATTACTATAAAAATTGCAAAGGCACATGTAATGCACAGACAATGGTGCTTGTTTCCTCTTGTTTGTTGGCCCTTCCTCTGTCTGCTTACCTGAGGCAAGCAGTTGAAGGGCCAAGAAGCAAGGGGAAGCCAAGCCATTTCACCCACTGGCCAGCCTTGCATCATTTCCAACTGTTGGGAACAG